TTATATGAAGGATAACTTCTTAGTTTTGGTCAATGCTATATGGTTAATATAAGGGGAAATTTTTGTAAAGGGCATATTGCCAACCTCTTAAGATATTCCTTAATGATCTCTGCCTCCTGGTATTCATAATCTTGTGTAATACCTAACCCTTCAGAATGGGCTGAAAATAGTGATTTATTTCTATCCAACAATGTGGCAAAGTGGTGAAATTCACTTCCAAGATTGGTTACATAAAAACTGTGGCTTTTATAGATATAGAGATAGTAAAGCAACAAGCAGACTGTCAAATTACAGCAGTAATTAAGTGTCCTGTACAGGTGTGTACCATTTCAAATCTTTTACACCATATTTTTCTGTACCTTTTCTACATTTAGGTATGTTTAGGCTCACAAATACTTAGCATTTTGTTACAGTTGCCTACAGTATTTAATACAGTAAAGGAGAAATGGGCTGTATATAGAGCGTAGGTATGTATACCATCTAGGTTTGTGTAAGTGCATTCTGTGATATTCATACAACGACCAAATTGTCTAAGGATGCATTTCTGAGAATGTGTCTCTGTCATTAGGCAAGGCATGACTGTGTGTTTAAATTTTTTTATTCTGAGCTAATTTTCAACTTAAAAAGGAGTTGCAAAAAACAGTAGTTTCTGTATTGATGTGTAACATACTACCCTGAAATATAGCAGCTTAAAACAATATTATTCCAAAGTTTCTGTGGGTCTGAAATCTAGGCATGGCTTAGCTGGGTGCTTATGGCTCAGGGTTCCTCACAAGGTTGCAAATAAGTCTTTTTTTTTTTTTTTTTTTTTTACATTTTTTTAAATTAAATTATTAGGGTCCCTCACAAGGTATTGGATGTAGCTATGGTCTAATCTCAGCTGAACTTGACTGAGGATACGCTTCCAAGCTTGCTCACATAGCTGTTGGCTAGAGGCATGAGTTCCTCTATCTTGGCAGCTCCATTGTAATAGCTAAATTTTCTTCAGAGTGAGCAAAGCAAGTAAGAGTGCAAGAGAGGGTTTCAGGACAAAAGCCACAGTTTTTTTTTTTTTTTCTTTTACATTTTTAAAAATTAAATTATTATCTGTGTACATATTTTAACATTGCCCCCCCTCTCTTAAATACCCTCCCTCCCCAGAGTTTTGTGTCCATTGGTTGTACTTATATGCATGGATACAAGTCCTTCGGTTGATCTATTATCTCCCCCAGATCTCACATAGCCAACATATTTCTTTCAGTATGTTTTCGATATCTTGCTCTCTCTCATCTTCTGGGACACCCATAATTCTGATGTTGGTTCGCTTGAAGTCGTCCCAGAGGTTTCTTACATTATCTTCAACTTTCTGGATTCTCTTCTTGCTCCTGTGGAGGAGTGTCTTCTGGCTCTTTATGTTACAAATCTTTGACTTGATTCTTGCGATCTTCCATTCTGTTTTTAGGACTCTGTATAATATTTTTTATTTCAGACAATGTATTCTTTATTTCTTGTTGATTCCTTATTAATTCTAGTTGATCCCTTTTCATATCCTCATAGGTCTTATCGATCTTTTCTAGGAAATTTTTGAAAATCCTTATAAGCGTAGATTTGAACTCTATATCCAGTCACGTTTTGTCCTCCATTTCTTTCGTTTGTGATCTATTTCGTTGTCGCATTTTGCAGCTACAGATGGGGTGGGGTTTCAGCGTGGAGCCTACAGCCTTGGCTTCTGTCAGCCCTGCCCTATGCAGCTCCTGGGTCTCAGGGTCCTTCAGTACTCACTGCAAGCGCCTCTGAGAGAAAGGTGCCCTCGATTTTCGCCTGCTACCAAACAGTCTATGCTCTCCCCCAATGAGCCCGGTATTGGGGTTCAGTTCAGTTGGAAGTGGAGTTGGAGGTGGCGTTCAGAGCAGTCTGGAGCCTGTCTCCTTCCCGCCAGGGCAATTCCGTGGCACAGCCAACCGTCCCTTCTCTGTGCACAATGTGCGCGCCACGGGACCTCCTTTCGCTGCTCCCCGGGGGTTCCGCCTTACAGCCCAGCTCCCTATGGATGAGCCTGGGTCCCCGGGTCTGGCCTAGAACTAGAGTTCAGAGCAGTCGGAACTGGGGCCCAACACAGTCGGAGTTTTATCTCCTTCCCGCTAGGGAACGCCCGCCAGGCACTCAGCCGCCCTCCTCTCCGGCTCCGTCCTCTCCACGCACGCGCCGCGTATCTCGTGCCTTAGGCTCTTACAGCTCCTCCGCGCTTCCTTCTGGTTTTCTCCTTGCTTCTCGTTGTAGAATTTCCAGTCAGTCGACTTTCCTGTAGTTTTGGGTAATGTCCATTTTATATTTTAGTTGTATTTTATTGAAATTGTTGTGTGCGGCTGCGGCTAGGTGTTTACCTGGGCAGCCATCTTGGATTCTCACTAAATTTATTTTTAAAACCTTTTTCTTCAATAATAAATTAACCTTAGCTTACTATGACATTTTTTACTTTAACATTTTTAACACAGCTTAAAAAACTTTGTATAGCTGCACAAAAATAGTTTTTCTTCATATTCTTATTCTATAACCTATTTAAAGCTTTTAAAGTATTTTTTACTTTTAAAATTTTTTGTTAAAAACTAAGACATAAACACACACATTAGCCTGGGCCTCCACAGGGTCAGAATGATCAATATCATTGTCTTCCCCTTTAAATCTTGTCCCACTGGGAGGTCTTTAGGGATAATAAATAACACACACGGAGCTGTCATCTCTTATGATAATGCCTTCTTTTGAAATACCTCATGAAGGACCTGCTTGAAATATGTCCATGGTGGTTTGCTTGGTTGATTATTTATTTGCTTGTAGGTAGATAATGCACAATGAACATTCCTCTCAATTGATGAAAACCCTTCAGTGTTGAGGCCCATGTTTTCAAAAGTTTTAAGGAGCTTGTTGAGACCTGCAAAAGCTTCTGCTAAAACCTTTACTGTGAATTTTCTTGGGGGTTCCTCTTCTTTTTCTTCTGCAGTTTCCTTTTCTCTTGGCCTCTTTCTCAGCTATGTATTCCTGCTCTAGATCCAACAACTCCACATTAATCAACTCCTCAAGAACCACAACTAGGCACTCTCCAACGTCATCCTATCCACACCCAGGTTACAGTTGTTTGTCATCTCAGCTACAACCTTCTTGATTTTTGCAACCTCTTTATCTTTGGCAAATCCTTTGGAGTCATAGAAGTCATTAAGTAATAAAAAATTTTTAAACTAAAAACTTAGTAAAATGCCACTTCAACACTTAATGGTCATTATAATCTTGTAGGACCACTGTCATATATGCAACCCATCAATGACCTAAATGTTATGTGGTGGATGACTGTATATGCACACAAATAAATGTTATGTATATGTACAGTTTGAATTATTTATGGACACTGGAGTCAGACACCCCCAGGTTCAAATGCTACCTCCAACACTTAACGGTCATGTGATTTGAGGCAAAACATTTAATTTAATTTGTTTAAGTATTAGGCTTTTAAAATCTATAAATTGAGATACTATCTATCTCTGATTATATGGAATAAAAAAATAATATAGGCAACCACTAGCATTTAGTACATTCTGAACAAATGGCATTATCAATTCATATTTATAATTATCTATAATTTTCTCATTCAAGAAACTCAGTTTTAATAACTAAGCATTTTATCATTTTGATGAGTTTAAATATTATGCATAAACTTGTCAATCTTTTAATTTCTAAACATTTTTCAAAAATAATGATCAATATTGATTTCTATAATACCCTACTATTTATAACATTGAAACTAGAGATTCACCTTGTTTGTTTTGCCCCAATTCAATTCTCAATCACTAACTTTTAGTCATTTCATTTGGACATATGAGTGCCAAAAATATTAAATGACTTATCCAAGAAGATATTTAGTAGAAGAGCTAGAAGTATGGCTCAAAGTTTGGAGAAACAATATCATGTGATAAACAAACTCTTCCTTTGATTAAATATGTGAACGCCCCATCTGTTGCTTATAATCAGCATTATTTGATAAAATGCTGTTTGCTGACAAAGTAGCAATGTCAATGCTTCAGTTTCCCAGAGGGTAAATATGGATACCATCAACTCATAGGGTTATCATGAGTATTAAATATTAGATACATAACATATATAAGTTCCTAATTGACAAGAATAACATGTGGATGTTGAAAAGACATTTTTTCCCCTTCCTCCTTTCCAAGGCCAGTGCTTTTCACTATGACATGTTTCCTTCTCATGTCATAGATGAAAACATTAAATACAAAGGGTAGTTTTGTTTAGCCATAACAGAATGTTAGGAGTCTCTTGTGAGAGACTAATGTAAATTGAATTGACAGTTTTAAATTTAGGCTGAATAATATCGATCTCATGCATTTATCCTTGAGCTGGTTTTCCTTTCCTGCAATACACTGTGAAGTAGGGCATTACATCAGAGAGTATAGTATGTTGGATTTGCATTACTGGTAAGGTTAAACCTTAATTACTTAGCTAAAGTGATGTTTGCCAGAATTTTCCACTGAAAAATTACCTTTTTACATTGTAAATACTAAATATTTGAGAGGAATCATAAAATGGAAATGAAGAGAGGAAAAAAAAAAGGAGAGAACATACATGCAGGAGAGGGAGCATGTGCATGCATCCCCTCTCAAAGCCTGGTCTTCAGCATATCTCAAAACAATAAGTAAGGAACTGGTAACTTGTGCCACTGCATGATCAAAGAGTCTTCTCAAAATAATTCAATGTTTTGAATACTTGAAGCCAAATCTTATCAAAAGCCCTTTGAAAGTATAAACATATTACTTTCAGATGTCCTCTTACTTGGAAATTTATCTCTTGAAAGACTTCCAGCAGAATTGATATAATCTGCCCTAAGAGAATCATACTGCTCCCCCCCAAAACAACAACAACAACAACAACAACAAAGAAAACCTTACATTTGCTTAAATATTTAAACCCGTTATGACAAATTCCACCAGCTTGCTTGTTATCACAAAGAGACTCACCGATCTGCAGATACTGGAGTCCTTTCTGGATTGGAATATTCTTCCAAATCTGAAAAGTTCACTTGTGTTTGCCTTGAGATTACTATCTGGCTATTCTGAAAATGTATGGTTTTCAAGTCCTGAGTAATAATATTACTATCTGGAAGAGACTGTATGACTTCAAAGTCCGGTGAAGATTTAGGTCCTAGAGAACCTAAAGGTTCTTGATCATATACTATAAGTTTACTGGTCAGTAATTTGGAGGTTGGTTCCAATGATCTTGAAGATACAGCTGTTTTAGAAGCCGGATCCAATGAAATTAAACTTTTATCTAAGGTTCCACTATCCAACTTGGAGGAAGTCTTGGGAGAAAGAGTTATACGAACAAAAGAAAGTACTTTTTTGTTTGAAGGTGGAGTAGATGGAGATCTTACTAACGTATTTTGACTTGGTGCTGATGGGGAGACCACATCACTGATTTTATTAGTTTCAATTTTTATATTAGATACGTATGATTTAGGCTTTTGTTGATCCTTGTTTTCTACTACATAATCCTGACCTTGAGGAAGGGGGGAATATTGTTTTTGCATGTGGTGATCTGTATCAGGGCCTCTGCTTTGTTCAAAGAGCTGACGCTGTTCAAGAAATATAGCAGAAGGAAGGTCTGGAGCTATATAAATCTGACCTTGAGGAAAGGGAGAGTGTTTTTCTCTCATCTGATGATCTACCTGTGGGGTTTTGCTTTGTTCAAAGAGTTCTCGGTTTTCAAGAAAAATGTGACAAGGAAGATTTGGAGCTACATAATGCTGAAGTGGAGGAGGAGGGGAAGAAAAAGGAGGAAGGGGAGGGAGAGGTGGAGGGGGAGGGGGAGGGGGAGGAGGAGGAGGAGGAGGGGGAGGTGGAGGGGGAGGGGGAGGGGGAGGGGGAGGAGAAGGAGGTTTTCTTACATAATGATCTGCATGTGGGACTTTGCGGAGCTCAGGCTGTTCAAGAGATATGAGTGGAGAATTTGGAGTTACAGTTATATTCTTCTCTTTTACTCCTGGTGTGGAATGGCTAGTTTTAAATGATGAAGGGGAAGAGGTATTGTGTTTTAGATTTCTAAGAGGACTTTGCTCTTCAGTGAAATGAGAATTAAACACCCCTACAGATGCTCCAGTACACTGGCTATCTTCAGTAACACCAACCTTAAGAACAGAGGAATCTGAAAAGCATTTAGAATGTCGGTGAGATGAAAAAGTGATGGAGGTAGTAAACTTTTTCATGGATTCTGGGGACAGCATTTGTGATGAAGAATGACAATCCATTTCTTCAGGTAGCATATAAGTAGGTTCTATAAAATCTGACATCCAAGGGTCCATATTTTCATGGAATGGCATTCGAAAACCCTTGTTAATTTTGAAGTCATCAGTTGTAAAGTTTTGAATTGGGGAACGACTTTGTAACTGCAAGGAATTCCAAACTTTTAAACGGGTGTTTCTCTGGTCTAGTGATTTGGAAAGGTTGATGTGCCTGTTTCTCCATGAAGATGGGTTCCGGTGTCCTCTGATAATTTCTAAGGGTTCAGGTGATCTGAAGACACAGGGATGGCTGTCCAACTGTGGTTGTTTAGGAGTAAGAGTCCTGAAACATCCTTTTTCATGGCTCTCAATAATAATATGACTACAGACAGCTTCTGGCTGGCATCCTATTCCCTGTGGACTCCGTAAACCCTAGGAAAACAAAAGATTTTACTTGAAGTAGTCCAAATAGTTATACAAAAATCACTTTGCTGATCTTTTACAATAAAACAGGTAAAAACGTAAGAATAAGACAATTAATTATAGAATAAAATTGCCCATGATCATGCAGTTAATTTCTTCTAAAATTTTTTCACTGAAATAACAAAAGCAAAAACTACTGTTGTCCCCCAGTATTCTCACTTTTTTTCTTGTAGTTAACAATATATCCCAACATTGATTAGTCAAAGGCCACCAAGCCACAGGTATTTCCAGCTACCTTTGAAGCTAGGTGTGACCATAAGACTAAGTTTAGACCAATGGAATATGAGCAAAAAAATTAAGTACAAATTTTGCTTCCTGTCCTTAAAAAATCAAGTTCTCAACCTCACATCTATTACTACTATCACCTATTACTACTATCACCATTACTATTGCCAACTAAGATAGGTGCTGTCTAGAACAATCTTGGAAGCCATATAAAAGGATGATACAGCTGCCCACCCAGCTTGGGTCCTTGGATAACCTGAAGCAGCTTGCTCCTGTTTCTACCCTGGACTATCACATAAGAAAATAAAATTTTACCTTATTTGAGCCATTGTATTTTGGGATTTCTTTGTTAAGAAGCTTAGCCAATACCCTAATATTTTACCAATTACAATAGGAAAAAGAACTAATACCTCTTTCTGGTTAATATCAATACATAATGCTACCATAAATATAAATTTTCCTTGAGATGTCTGCATTTACCTCGCCATTCTACTTGATGATAAAGGAACATTTGGCTTCATATAAAAATATTTTAGCCTGGCTGGCATGGCTCAGTGGTTGAACATCGACCTATGAATCATGAGATCACGGTTTGATTCCTAGTCAATGCACATGCCTAGGTTGCAGGCTTAAATCCCCAGTAGAAGGTCTATAGGGGGCAGCTGATTGATGATTCTCTCATCATTGATGTTTCTATCTCACTCTCCCTCTCCCTTCCTCTCTGAAATCAATAAAAATATATTTTAAAAAGCTCAACATTTAAAAATATGCTGCCACTTCTGACACAGTGGAGTGGATGTGCTTTGCCCTATTCTACCTGCTAAGTCCACAATTAAAAATCCTGGATAATATACATAAAACAAACTTAAGAAGAATCTGGAAACTATAGAAAAGAAGGCAGGTAGGCTAAGGACATTGGGACCTCAGGAATGACATGGTAGTGAAATCCCTGGGTTTTCTTTTTACCTGATATATCCCAGATTTGGATCTGAAGAAGCCAGCAACACAGGAACAAAGGGCACATACAAAAGCTCTAACAAAAACCTACTCTCATTAGCTAAACTCCCCCACCCCCCTACAAAACAACAACAACAAAAAACAGTAAAGTGAAGTCTAATAAGACAGAAAACGTTGCCCTGATTAGGTGGCTCAGTTGGTTGAGTGTCATTCCATACACCAAAAAGATTGTGAGTTTGATTCCTGGGCAAAGCACATATGGAGGCACTCGATTGATGTTTCTCTCTCAACTAATGTGCTCTTCTCTCCCTCTCCTGTTTCATTCTTCCCTCCTTCCCATCCTCCCTCCCTTTCTCTCTCTCTTTCAAATCAATAAACAAAAAACAAAACAAAACAGACACATATCCTTGAGTGGCAATTAAAAACTTTTAGACAAAAAACTGATTTCAAGCAAAAACTACAGGAAAAAAAGGGCGTGTGTGTGCAAAAAGTCTAAGTGAGAAGCATAGACTTCAACCCTTCCAAATCAATAATGAAGCAACCACCAAGCCAAGAAGTATTAGAGATGGCCAAGTAGGAGTCCTGCTGACTGGTCATAAACTTCCTCTTCTGTGGTGTCAGTTGAGACCACACAGGAAGACTGGATTTCCATTTCCAGTGAGCAGTAGAGTAGTAATGAGTAGTCCCCCTCTCTCCCAGCTACCAACTGAAAGAAAATATTTGCAAGTCTCATATCCAAAAGAAGACTGTATCTAACATATACAAAGAACTCTCAAAACTTAACAGTTACAAAACCCACACACAATTCAATCAGAAAAATGGGCCAAATAACCATATACATCTCAGGAACAAAAGGGCATGAAGAGATATTCAAAATCATTAATCATTAAGAAAACACAGATTAGAGAAAACAAGATGGCAGCATAGATAAATACCTAAACTGCTGCCTCACACAACAATTTCAAAACTATAACTAAAAGACAAAACAGACATCATCCAGAACCACAGGAAGACTGGTTGAGTGGAAATTCTACAACTAGAATTAAAGAGAAAAGCACACTGAGACTCTGAGGAGCTGCAGAAGGCAGAGGTACAGAGGCACACGGACGGAGTGGGCTGGCAACTGAGTACACTATTGGCTTTCTCAATCGGGAGGGAGACAAAAGCTCCTGACAGCTCTGAACTCCAGTTCCGGGCAAGACTCTGGAGACCCACACTCATTTGGGGAGAAACTATCAGGAAAGATAAAAGCACACAGAGGAGCTGCAGAAAGCAGAGGTACAGAGGAACGCACACGGAGAGAGCTGGCAACTGAGTATGTGATTGGCTTTCTCAATTGGGGGGGGAGACAAAGCTCCCGACAGCTCTGAACTCCAGTTCCGGGCGACACTCTGGGGACCCAAACTCATTCAGGGAGAAACTGGACTCTCTGGCAGCAGGAAAAACTCAAAACTCAAAAGCAGCTCTCTCTCAAGAGGCCTCTTAGGGAAGTGCTGAAAGGAAGCCATTACTGTCTGCTCCGCCCTGAGATTCCGCCCCATCCAAGCTGAGCAGAGAAGCTTTTGCAAATCTTATCTCATAAGAATGTCTCTAACACAGAAGTTCTCCCAGCATAGACACAGTTGATCCTCACAGTCAAATGGACTGGAGGTCAAACACTCCCAGTAATACCAAAAATAATCAAGGCTTAACCTGTTAACTGGGGAGTTCCCTTTTTAATGATGCAACCTGTAACGGGAGTGTACTCTTTCACTAGGACTCGTCAGTACGTCATGCCCAGAGGACATAATTTCATATTATTTTTTTTTATTTATACTTAATGAAAATAAATGAAATATATATATACACACATATTTTCATATATATATATATATATATGTATATATGTATATGTATATATATAGCACACAGGAAAATACAAAATTACAAAAAAATAGAAAAGAATACCGACAAAAAAAAAAATGGACACGTCGAATTAAAAAATTATAAATTTTACAAACAATGATAAAGATTACAAAAAATAGCCGAAACCGGTTTGGCTCAGTGGTAGAGTCCAGTCTGCAGACTGAAAGGTCCCAGGTTCGATTCCGGTCAAGGGCATGTACCTTGGTTGCCGGCACATCCCCAGTGGGGGGTGTGCAAGAGGCAGCTGATTGAGACAACTTCAAGAGTACCAACATCTGAATTATAGGGGTGGCAGTAGAAGAGAGAGAGCAAGATACTGAAAACCTATTTGAAAAAATAATGACAGAAAACTTCTCCCACCTGGCGAAAGAAATAGGCTTACAAGTCCAGGAAGCACACAGAACCCAAAACATAAGGAATCCAGAGGACCACACCAAGACACATCATAATAAAATGCCAAAAGCAAAAGACAAAGAGAGAATATTAAAAGCAGCAAGAGAAAAACAGTTACCTACAAGGGAGCACCCATATGATTGTCAGCTGATTTTTCAACAGAAACTATGCAGGCCAGACGGGAGTGGCAGGAAATATTCATAGTGATGAATAGCAAGAACCTACAACCAAGATTACTATACCCAGCAAAGTTATCATTCAGAATTGAAGGTCAGATAAAGAGCTTCACAGATTAAAAAAAGCTAAAGGAGTTCATCACCGCCAAATAGTATTATATGAAATGTTGAAAGATATTCTTTAAGAAGAGAAAAAAGAAGAAAAAGGTAAAAATAAAAATTATGAACAACAAATACATATCTATCAACAAGTGAATCTAAAAATCAAGTGAATAAAAAATCTTATGGACAGAATAAACTGGTGAATATAATAGAATCAGGGGCATAAAAAGGGAGTGCACTAACAATTCTCGGGGAGAGGGGGAAGAGGGGTGCGGGAAGAGACTGGACAAAAATTGTATACATACATATGAGGACAGTGGGCAGGGGATAAGGGCAGAGGGTAGGGTGGGAACCAGGTGGAAGGGAGGGAGGAAAAAAGAGGAACAACTGTAATAACCTGACCAATAATTATTAAAAAAAAAAATTAAAACCACCATGAGATACCACTACAAACCTATCAAAAAGGCTAAATTAAAAAAAAAAATGCATGTGAGGCTCTGGAGTAATAGACTCACAACATTACTGGTAGGAATGTAAAATGGTACAATCACCCTAGAAAATGGTGTGGCAGTTTCTCAAAAAACTCAACATACAACTACCATATGACCAAGCAATAGAACTTCTTGACATTCATCCCATAGAAACAAAGACTTACATTCACCAAAAATCTCTACATATTTATAGCAGCTTTATTTGTAATAGCCCCAAATTGAAAACAACCAACATTTCATTCAATAGGTGAATATTTAAACCAACTATTACATCCATACCATGGAACACTAAACAGCAATAACAAGGAACAGACTACTGATACATTCAACAACCTAAATATTCTCCAGAGAATTATGCCCAGTGAAAAATGCTAATACCAAAATGCAAATACATATAATTTCACATTTATAACATTCTTAAAGTGACAAAATTATAAAAATACAGATAAAATTAATGACTACAAGGGAAAAATGGATGTAGTTATTAGAGGGCAACAAAAAGGTCACTTTATGTTTATATAAATGTTAGGTATCTTGATTATGTCGCTGCCAATATCCTGATCGTAATATGTTATTACAGATTTGCAAGATGTTACCATTGGTAGAAACTGGGTAAAAGGTAAAAGTGACCTTTCCATATTATTTCTTGCTACTGCATGTGAATCTAAAGATATTTAAAAAAAATTTTTTTTAGAAAACC